TGATTCACTCAATTATGTTGAGAATAATACAGCAAGTTAACGGCACCATCCTGCCATATGAGCTTCATTCATTCAATTATGTTTAAAATGTCACATTAAAGTTAGGGGAAACACCCTACTATGAAAGTTTTGTATCATATTTGTCGTTCATATCTTGTACGTGCTTTGTGCTTTTCTTGTTCTCATGTTTCGGAATTTCGCAAAAAAGTAAAATTTTCAATTGCTTCACGAGGTTTATATATGCAAAGGAGTTTGCATACCCACAAGTTGCAATTCGTGAGATTTTAGCTCCTATCATACAGAGTTTGTTTTTTGTGCTATTTGATTTTCTCTCTCTCTTTTACATACTTGATGGTTTCTAATCTTTCGAAATGTGGTTATGGGTCTAAAATGGACACCGTATGAGAAAGTTATGACAATTTTTTCGAAAACTGACAGTACAAGCTTTTCGTGAACACAAGTGCTCGTTCTTCCACAAGAACCTCGTTCCGTATCGACGCGAGCTTTTTGAAATATGGTTATGGGTCCAAAATGCACACCGTATGTGAAAGTTACACCAATTTTTTCGAAATTTAACAATCCAAGCGTTCCTTATACGCAAGTACCCGTTCTTCCACCCGAATCTTGATTCTTGAGCTTAATATTATGTTCATTATTATTAATTAAAACTCGAAGCAACAAAGAATTAACTTGACACGAGTTTACACACACACCAATTTACGGGTATAATGTGAATACTATCAAATTAAGAGTGTCGAACTCTCTTTAACAAAAAGGTGAATATTTAAAAAACAAAATTATCATACCAAAATGCCAAAATATTAAATAATGTAAAATACGTCCCCCAACTATAGCTTGAAGACCCTAATATTTACTTACCCAACTAAACTGGACAATTAATTTTATTTAAGGTTTTTTTATTTAATTTTATATTTAATGGCAACAAATGAAATAACAGAAAAGATTGGGAAAGAAGTACAAACGTCCAAACAAAGACGGGGCCGAACTCGTTAAACCTAAACCCTAGATACCCGAAACTTCATACGATGACGATGACAACTATAAAAATTCTTGCCTCTTCCAGGGTAGGTGTCTCCAATGTCTTCAACCACCACTGACCACCGCCAAGTCATCTACTGGTACGTACATATAACGGCTACCAATATTTATACTTCCTTTTTGGCTTATTTTTGACAGCTTCGTATTAATAGGTTGCATAATTCTTTTGATGGATCATGCCACGTGTTCAAAATTTTTTTTTTACATACTCTCTTACTTGCTACTCACAATGAAGGTGGAAACCACAAGACGACATTTTTTAAATTCACGTGGGATCACTAATTTTGAGAGTGAGTGCACTATTTTGTCAACAAGATTTTGTACAAATATCTTTATCCTTTTTTTTTTTTTTACAAGGTGTTCGCGCTTGCGTCCGACTAGATCCTTGTCCCTGAACTTCCGGCCCCTCAGCAGCTCAGGGAGGTAAATCGCAGGATGTGCCCTTATTGGCTCCCAGGTTCCCACAACTCATTTGGACTCCTTCCGCAAAGAGAGCTCTCCTCACTGGGCGTTTGTTCACACCAATGGCTTCCTCTCCATATGGCTCCCAGTGTTAACTCTAGGAATCGAACTCCCCACCCTTGCTTCCAGCGTCCCAGCGAAGTGATTGTTCCACCAACTCGAATGTGCCCTGGGGGCATCTTTATCCTTCTTTTGATATTATGCAACTTTGTACACGAAGGTGGAGCAATATTGAATATTCTCCTTAATGCCAATGCATTTTTCTATCTATGGTGCATTGGATGTTAAGGGAATAATATCTTTATGGAGTATAGTAATTGCAATTTACACTACACACAAACTTCAGATTTTTTCCCTTTTACTCCTGGCCTTTTGATTTTTATCTCGTGAATATTACTAATGTAAGACTTTCTCAGTGCAATTTTAATTTCTTTCTGACGTGCATATAAGCTATTTAATAACAAATAGATAAAAATGAGTAATGAATCTCAAAAAGATGAATAATGTCCCAAATAACGAGAGGTGTAAAAAACATGTCCGATTGTGCAGTTGTACCATCAACATTTTTATTAGCAAATCCCTTTGTTTAATCTTAAAAATACGAAAGATGTATATTTTTCATATTTTATTGTCTTGGACCAGTATTCTTTTCCAAATTATATCAAGATTCCAGTATTCCACTCCCAATATTCTGCAGAATTTATAGCCGGACAACTAAAAAATAGAGTTTCATTGAGAAAGAGCTCTTGCATTAACTGAACAAGAAGATATAAAAGGAATTCAGGTACAAATTGTAAGCCATAACATTTCATAGTAGCTGAAGCCATGTACGCCTCCCTTCAGGCAAAAGGAGTCATTTTGGTTTCTCAAGAGATAATGGCGCTGCTTGTTCA